TAATATATTGCAATATTACTGGGATATTTCCGTAATATTACGTGCTATATAAGTATCTCATCATTTTATCTTTATAGTTCATTGGACAAAAACAAAAGTAGAATGATGCAATAGCGCTGAAAACGCTTTCCGAACTCGCTCATTCTTATTTCGAGATTGTACACATGATAGATACATAAAGAATTTCTTTAATACAATATATCTGTCAGTCATAATTAGTTAACATGTATATACGATTACTTTTTTTAATATGTAACACTTTTTATAGAAGTGTGAGAGTCACTTCATAATTTGTATAAATTTGTAGATATGAAAATAAGATTACTGCAGATAGGCTGAAGAGCAAATATATCTTATGGACGTCTAAATATTGGTTATTAAAAGACATCCGAAATCGGATATACGATGGACGTCTAATTCATGTCCGCGGACATGCGACCATAAATTGGACATAGAACGAACGTCCATAAGACATCCTGTGCTATCTGAGTAGAAGCTCGAATAAAGATAATTTTGCCCTAGTTTGCTGCTTGGGATTTGTCTGGAGATAAAAGATTACAGGTTCGTGGATCTACATATTTCATTGTAAATGTTTCTTATGTGTGCACACAATGTCTAACTTCTAATGTTTTAAGGATAAATGAAAAGAGAGGAAAGTGATGTAATGTTGATTGAATTAAATAAGTATTTTACTTTAATCATATTACAAATTACAATCACATATATTTGCAATACATACACCAGACGTTGCTACAAAAATTTATCACGATAAGAAAGTTACAGAAAGAGAGATATATATATATATATATATATTATTGAATAGAAAGAAATCGATAAAAAATATCTAAACTTTCCGAAAATAGAATAAAGGAATAACATATACCGGGAAATCGATCGATTTGAACACAATTTCTTATAAGTTTAATTCTGTCACTAAATCAAGAGTTTCTTACTTAATATCTTGAAAATACATTTTATATTTGATTAAAGATGAAAACAAAATTAAACAAAATCAAGAAAAAAATGAGAGTGCGTCAAAAGCTTTGATTGTGCTTGGAGTTCACAAAGGCATAGTCTGAATTTATGTATGCAATTAGTTTAATCTAGATTTCTTGTGCATATATGGAATCGAATCATGCTGGGTGGTGAGTGGTATTGCAATATGGCCTCGTCGCAAAATTGGCGTAAATGTTACACAATCCCACTCGTACGATTCATACTCGAGCGATTAGTAAGTCAATCAATACAAATAGCCGAATGTAGAAATCTCTACATTTCTAGCGTAATTCATATTGATTTTGTGCAATTGCGCGATAATTTATTTTTCCTTCAAAAAATATTTTATGCGTGCCGTCGTTCATTAATTATACATACTAAACAATATCCTTAGTACATTCAGTTTAAATATTTTATGTATTTATTTTCTTTACTTTTTAATCTCTACAATTGCTAAGAATAAACGCATTTGTACGAGCTTGTGTTACGTTGATATTTTGTGCGTTGATGTTAAAAGTAAATCTGATTAAATCTCGAGAAGGCCACACCGCAATTTTCTCTCCAGAAAAAGCTTTTGTAGCTAATGACTTAAGCTTTGGTCGCTTCTGACTTCGGCTTCACGTCTTCTGCTACTTTAGCTTCAGGAGTCGGCACTGTTGGGATTTCCGGATATTCAAGCTTAGCACCTTCCTCGCACTCGAAGATTGGACAACACTCAGGGAAGCTCGCGGTCTTGTTGGTCTTGTCGGAAAGCTTGCACTTGGGATTAGCTTTGGGTAGCGGACCGCAGTCCTCTACTAACTCAAAGAGACGACCAGAGTTGTCGTCAGCGGGCACGCAAGTGGAACGACCGCAAAACGGCGACAAGTCCCACGATTTACTTGGCTCAATGGTTGCGCACTTGGTCGACGCAAAGCACATGCCCGGAAAATCTGCAAAGCGTTATTACATAGCTTCGATTAATTATAATAATCTCAGTCATTAGTTATATCATTAAATAACAACTACTTATATTAAAATTATTTAACATATTTTTTCTTTTTGTTATTTTTTTCGAGACACATCAAGTTTGCGCATATTTCTTTTACGAGTTCAAGTTTTACACTTGGTTTAGTTTTGATACTTCATGTAATGCAGAGCCGTGAACAACGCTGTCATTCCATTACGAGGCTAACTCGATTTATAAACCAGCGACAATCTCGATACTTATCCACGACAACGGCAAAATAGAAACAGCGTCATTGTCGTCCTTATAATCGTTGACGGTGATCGTGCTAGAAACTTCAAGGAGAAACACTTTCACTGTCATATCCCAAATCGGTCGGCTGGCAACTTTTGCGCAACGCGGCGACGACAAATGTTGGGCGTCGTTAGGATGGGCGTCAATGGTGAGTTAACATCTCCGTTACATCATCTCTTCGAAGTTATCCTGATGATTCACGACACGTGAAATCGTATTTCTCAGAAAGTGTCTCAAGAATGTAGAGAAAATGTTAAGATTCAGAAATGTTAGAAATATTCAATAAGAGTATGAGAAAAGCAAATGTTTATTCCAAAAAAGAAACTAATAAAAAATAACCGATTTGGAAAATAATTTATTAATATGAAGATTACATAATCTATGCCACAAATCTAACGGAAGAATTATGGGCAAAATATTGTTTTTCTTGCTGTTCGTACGATATTCATAAAAGAAGAAAGCTTAGGGCTAACAAGACACATCTCGTATAGACGTTCAGAATGTCTAGTCGACTCTGTCCTATATATACATATATATATATATATATGTATATCTCAGTCGAGCTTTAACGAGAGTAGCATAATGTTGTGATTTGCTTCTTTTAGAAATTGGCAGAAACAGATAAGGATATTTAAAATGATTAAAAAAAAACAAAAATTCTTTAATAATTTTATTACAAGTTCTTAGATCGAAATTTAAAAACAGAGAAATAATGTAGTAATTTAACATAATTAAAAACAACACATAGATGATGTAGATTTTACTTTCATATTATGTAAAAAAAACTTGACACACTTGCGAATTCTTGGTAAGTTTTTTGAAAGTTTGAGATAAGTAAGCAAGACACTTCTTTGATTTTATTCTCGGTTTTTGATCTCGATCGCATTTTTTAATCGCGCCAGAGTTAATTCTGATGACCAAGTCTGGGTGCTACTTTTTCCGTGAATATTTTTTTAATTATAGCGGGAATATTTTATATAATGTATAAATGTGCAAAACAAATAATGCAAATATTATTATACAAGTGCGCGCGCGTGTGAAAAAGAAATGTATGAAAAATTCTATCGATATATTTTTTGTACGTATGTTTGTGATCAAAAAAGATTAAAAAAGATATTAAAAAGCGCTTAAATATGATTTGCTGCATAATTATTATATGTAAATATTAAATAATGCGTTTGCGCTACAATAAGATTCCTTATTCATGTAAATGTGCGTTACGTATTCCAAGACCTTCGCTACGCCCATTCTGCAACCTTCTGAAGAGTCTAATGAGATAAATAATATCCATCTTCTTCCCATAAATTTCCACGCTTGTACGATCCTTCGCTATAATTCGAATCACAAGGTCGCGCAATTTTCTTCGCCACCGTGAGTAATTTGAATTATTCATAGAAATCTAGATCTGTATCGAGACTGTCGAGTAAGAACAAAGGGTATTTAAAGACAAATTGAATAAAGACACTATCTACTAAGATCTCACTCCGTAAGATTTAATATCAAGAATTCTCACTCCGGTACGCTCGCACATCAATTTGCTTACAATTGTGCGATTTTGTCAGATGTATGTACATATTCACTCAGTGAAGCGTAATAGTAGTAATTACAGTAATAATTACAATAAAGAAATAGACTCTAAACGACTCTTTTATTTTGAAAAAATAAAATAAACGATCTATCAGACACCTAAATAAAAGTTCTAAACTATTAACGAAAGAAATATAATACAAATAAGAGCCAGAAATATACACACAGGCGAAACGAACATAATATTTTATTTTATAAGTACGTAATTATATGATTAAAATATATTTCTTATGAAGATAAAAAGATTAAAGTATATATTTAAATAAAAATAAATATATATAATGTAAATATAAATATGTAATGTAAATAATGTATACAAATATATATACGTATATATTTTTTTAAATGTTTTGTTCTGCTATAAAAGACATATATATAAATATTAAAATATATAAATGTGTGTATATAAAAAGAGAAAGAAACGTATTCTATATCTTACATTACAACCTACAGACATGAAGAGGAAAGCAATATTTAAAATAGGCAGGAGGAACAGGTAATAACAGGACCTCCCCTCTCTTCATGGCAGTAGCACAAAACTTTCACGCGATCTCGTGATCTTGACGGCGAGAGCAGCACGTTTCTGATTTTTCTTGTCTGATTGTTCATAGAATGTGTCAATGTATTATATACATCCTGCGTCGCTATGAATTACCATATTTATTATAACACGAGATAAGATGACAAATTGTATTGTAAAAAAAAAGATTTACAAGAATATCAGGACACGATTCACGCTTGGACGAATACTAAGGAGACGAGTGCAATAATTACAGAGCGAAAATATTCTTTCTTACTAAAGATACAAGGTCAGTTCAAAAGAAACGGACGAAGAAAACATAGGCGATTCATAGAGCTACTCATACAATAACCATGTTTACATGCTATGTAGTTTAGTAGCAACCATTTTCGTAAAATTGACCAATCATATTGATCGATTAATCAAATCGACCACTGTGATCGGTCTATTCCACAAAAACGGTTATTACTAAATCCGAGTAGCATTGCCACGTATGTAAACACAATATATATACAAGAACGTCTGTCTCTGATAAAATAATTCAAAATAATTCTCAAGTTGATTGTCTTAAGATCCAACTATATATACGGTTTTTATTCTAGACATCTCTTAGAATTTACTTCAAGACTTTTTTTAGGCAACCTGAAGATATATTTGTTTTTCAGATTAATTTTAAAAATATTTACGTTTTTAAGACAGAATTACAATAAAAAACCAAATTTGTTTTTAAACTATAATAAAAAATATATGTCTAAGATGTGGTTTTATAAGATAACTAAAAATTGATTAAATTTATTAGTTATTTTATATTAGTTATTTTAAAGATTAGATTTAGAAAATAATTTAGTGGAACATTGAACATCATTTTTCTGTCTGCACGGAAAATCTGTCATCTCTTACTCATCTCTTTGATATCTATATAATGATGAGATAATTCCAACAAGATTATAATTAAGTATTCCTGAATTTTTTGAAGATTCGATTGTTGACGAGGAAAATACTTTTAAATAATATTTCTGAGTCGAATATTGATGATGCTTTTTTGTCACAGGCTACGACATTTCGGCATGTTATCGAGATCTTAAATCGTCGTTTGACACATGTGTGTGTGACACGATGTCATAAGAAAGTTGGTGTCTTCCAGGAACCGGTAGAAAATATTTTGCTACTTATGTCGCACAGATTATGTACAATACATATAATTTTTTGAATTTAAATATTCAAATATTTTTTCGATTTTTTTTATAATTAATCAGTGTGTGAATTTAATTAGCTAATTTTTATTTATTAGCAACAATAAAATTACGATTAGAAGTTTATAAAGCTAAGTATATTTGAAAACGTTTAAAAAACTGAAGACATAACTTTACAAGCATACGCGTAATCTTTATTATTTTTATAAAGTTTTATTAAAAAAGCCATGAATTTAAGATATATATATATTGTATATATACAATATACATGCATGCATGCACATATATATGCACGCAATCCGAGAAGAAACAAATTTGTAATTAGATATGGCGATTTCTTAAACGATATAGTATTACCATATAGAAAAAATTTAGAATCTATTCAAAGAAGTACTTACCACGAAGCACGTCGGCGGGTATCAATCTTCGGAAAGTTTTCGGTCGGTCTTGTTCTACGGCTTCCTGAGCGACGACGATGGCAACAACGGCACAAAGGAAAACGAATTTATCGACGAGTTCCATGATTCCTGAGTCGCGAGAATAGAATCTGACTATTCACGGAGGAAAGATGGAAGAAGCAAAAAAGCAGAAAAAGGTGACTTCTTGAATCGATTAAGACTGGTTGAGCCCGATTCTCATAGCAGCATTTTATAGCCGACCATCGGGCGGAGTCTCTGTTATCCCCTCCAGGAGCAACGTAGTCTATCACCTCTTGAATTACCAGTCACCGAAGAATTGCTTGCGACCGAAGCTGTCGAGTAGTGTGTGCAGAAATGTGGGATATGGGCACAGGTAATGATGGGCATTACATGGGATCAATCGTATTTGGTTGTTTCGATTTTTTCGGTATTTTTATACACAGCGATAGTTTTTGACAAAAAAATATAAATTTCATTTTGCAAACCTTGCTTACCTTTTCCGTTATGAATAATTTACGAAAGTGGACGTAGTTACACAATAAAGAATCAGGAAACTAATATTGCATATATTATATAAAAATTCTTCACGAGTATCTTTTGCAATAAAAATAGTGCATCCCCGGTAAAAAATTTTTCATATATACTTATACACAAATTAAAATAATTATATCTAATTATGCAAATTTATATACCGAATATGTCCATACAATTTTATACATGGAAAATTTTTTACTGGGTCTATTATAGCATTTCTTAATTTGTGATCATTTTTTTATTTTCTTGTGATGTAGACCCGTCTGACTTCTTGGTAACCGTTTTTAAGATCTTTCACTTGAAATATGTAAAATAATTAAGCGATTAACAAATCGGTGTCTTAAAAACGATATTTTAGTTCTAAAGGCTCTACAGTTCTTGGTGTACCATATACATCACATTTTGATATCGATTACACAGGCCTCTAAAGAGGTCTACGAAACGGGAAATTTACAAAGAATATTTCTAATTTTTTAATTCTTAAAACTCACGTTATTCTTTGTTTTCAAATATTTTTTATTCAAAACAATACTGATAATTGTTAAAACAAGAAAAAAAAACTTTGAGTGGTCTTCTGGAGTTAATACAAAATTGACTCCAAAAGCATCCGGCTATGAAATATTCTATGGAAAGAAGTCCCGTGTAAAAAAAACGATCTCTCGATCGCGCGTTCTCCGTGCAAAAGAGAAGGAAAGCAAGATAGGAGAAAGAAGAGAGATACACGAATCTAGAACTGAATCTTGACACCTGATGAAAAAATTTGTCTTTAATTACAAGCAACGCGCCTATTATAAGAACATAGTTTTTAATATTATTGTCGGAAAATCACACGGTACCTCAATCCGTTATTAGTATTATTATTTGCTGCATGCGTTAAAGAGAAACTGAATTATAACATATAGGGAACAGCTGTGTTGTAGACGATAGAAAGTAGCAGTTTAAAACTTTCCACACGAAAGTGTAAGTGAAGATTCTGCTTTTACTGCGAGTATTTCATGCACTGATCGTAGCGGTCATCACTAGAAATTAAAAGCCCAAAATTTTTCTAATGTATGAACTAATAAACAAATAGCACGCGAGTATATAAAAATACTTAAATTTTATTACGAACAAACTGATTAAATGCCAGAGTCAACTTTGCTTTACGAAAGTAAAATTTCTTATATTTCTGTATTCTAATTCCTCTGTAACATAGCTATGTGTACTATATGTATAATAGTTATGTATAAGTAATTATTACAAAGTAACAATTTAACTCTTTGATTAAAAACTTCTTTTTCTTGAAAAAAATAAGATATTCCTTTCTTTTTTGAAGCTGTTTTATTCCCGTTTTCTTAAATATTTTTACTGCTAATTGTTTTATCCGTAAAGAAACCAGCTGAGATTATAAGTTGAATAAGATCTCTGTAAGAATAGCGAAGATAAGATGATTATTTAAAAGTGTGCTTGTACGTGTACGTAACGCAGACATTAATACTGTTATTTTATAATAGATTCTTAAAGAAAGGAATAAAATGTAATCAATATTTGTTAAATTTTTATTAATCAAGTGAATGTTTCAAATTTCAGAATTAAATTTTTATTTAAGAAAATGAGATACACAGAATAAACCAAAAATAAGCATGAAATAAAGCATAAACATGTAAAATACGCAAACATTTATTTACCGAAATAAATTTGTAATATCATAGTAGTAAAGTAATAATTTATATCAACACATGCATGAATTTATGAGTGTTCTTACAAATGTTCTCGCCGTTTTTCTTTTTTTTTCTTTTTTAAGAACGCGCAACTGTGCCAAGCCAAAGCAACAGCGCGCACAACGTGTTTATTGCAACAGACTTGATGAAGACCTGTCTACTGCCTGCTCGGTCAATTAAAACTAAACTCATCCTCTTCCTGTTCGCTTTCTGTTCTGTTGACCCCACAAGCAATATATTGCTTATACTTTTTTTGTCAAATCTCATCGAGCAAGATGTTTCAATGAAAGGAAGATAATACGCTCAATTAATTATCTGAAAATTTATGTATACATATTATTTAGCACCAATATTTTTTTAATCACGAGTTCTAATTTTCCAGGAAAAAGCGACTGCACGATTCACAGAGTAAGACAAAAAAAAAAAATGTTTAAGCAGGAAGCGAATTGGTCAATTAGTAGCGAACTATGTAAAGAATGTCTGGAATGTTCTCTTCAAAACTCTTCTGCAATTGATCAATTCGAATAAGTTTCACTGCTTAAAGCTTACATTTAAGGTGTACTGCTTAAAGTATGATACATTAGCGATAAATAATTCGCGAAACACGCATGGGAAAACCACATCCTTCTTACTCTCTCAGACTCTTTATTCTGTTCAATAGTGTATCTGCGAGTATAGCATGTCACGATGCATGATTTTGTTCAAGTAATAGAGGAAATAAGAAAAAGTTGAGTCGTACAAGTTACACTCAGTCCCAATGATGGAACTCTGTTGTACTTTCTACAGTCAAATCCCTTTGTTGTCGATATTCTTGGTTCCTCTGTACCTGACGAACTTTCTTCTTTAATCTTGCTCTTTCCTATTGTGTTGATATTCTATTATCATATACTCGCTGCGCTCGCATATGCGCGAAACAAACAGCCGTGCTTCAATTCTTGAAAACCTTTTGCAAACGAGTCTACTCTATCATGCTCTTAAATAACAATAATCACGTTGAATGTACAAAAATACAAAACTTTTTAACTTGTATGCTGATTTCTAATGCTTTATTTTATACATGGAGAATAAATTTGTGGTTTTAACATCATTTTTATAGACATGTACAAATATCTTTTGCATACTCTTTACGTATCGTTACAATAAAGGCGATCAATTCTCTTTTTTGTGCATGCACGTCGAAATGCTGGAAAAAAATTTTTTTAAATCATAAAAGACTAAAAAAATATAAAGATAATGCTGAAAATTTTTTAATATTTTGTAAGCAAGAATTTTTGAATAGACTTTTATATTATATAATGACCAATAATGTAAATATACTTCCTTAATTAAATTTGTAATTTTGGAAAATGTAAAGTTGCACCAACTTTAGTATTACGAAAAAAATAAGTAACTTTTATGTAATCTTTTGTACGATTCAAACTTTCATTAAAATTTTTTTAATTACAATTTAGTGTCAAATATATTTCTATATATTTTACGTGGATATACTTATATAGTGTCACTGTCACACTTATAATTGTAAAAAGCTTCAAATCATATATTAAAATTCTCATATAAAGAAGTATTTATTTTTTTTAGTATACAGTATTTAAAAAACAAATTATTCCACAAAGAATAAGATGGCTTCTTATTACATTGATGCAAAAAGTTAATTTTGCTGTAAGTTACACATACAAATATTGACTCAAACTAAAAAAAACGAGATTAAAGAGTTTGCTTCTTTCTGATAAAAAGGAGATTAAAATCAAATACTGATTAGTCACTGATTAAAAAAACAAACTGAGAGAACATATCAGACCCATCATGTAACATATACAGAAATCAGACGTAACGGAAATAACTTTTTTACACTAATGTTCACAGCCATTTTTTGTGGTATTTACATAGAAAATATTTAGTATGATACATGATACAAAATCTTTCCGCGTCTCATTTTCTCTTCTTTCATTTTACCTTACTATATGCTGTTAAAAGAACAAGTACATTATTCTTAAGAAGCAAATCGTTCCTGCCAAATTTCAGATCGATGTTTGCTTGTTAAAATTGGATTAAGAACGGCTCCAATTGAATTTATACGTCCTTTGAATCTTTCGTTATCTCGAGCCATTTCTTCCCACGGGCCTTTCCGTGCTGCTCGATATGCATAATTCCATTTTACCATAATGTGCACAACTGGAGTAGGATCAAATCTCACCTGGAATAAAACATATTGAGTATTATGGAGATATCTAATTAAGAAAATAAATTATTGAATTTTGTAAAAATAAATAATAGACTAATATATATATCCTGAAAATTGTATTGTGAAACTTTATATACTTTTTTCTTTTGTGTTTCACTTTTATCATATTCATCATTTTGGTCGTTTTCATTTTCATTTAATTCAGGTGCGTACGCTATACAAATATTGTCTTCAAAAACGATGGAATTCTTCAATGTTTCTTTGTTTTGTGATAGTGATTTCTTTTGGTACGTATTATCAGTCTCGTCCAGATCCTCTTCCGGTTTGGATGTGAAAACTATACAAAAGCTATCTTCGGAATCAATGGAACTATCTAATTTTTCCAACATATCGGAAGAAATTTTTTTCTTCTGGCGTTGTGTTTGTTTCATAGATATTATCGTCGATATGCTTGACGAATCAGATGTTACAGAATTAGTTGCTTGAATAAGCGGAACAACATTCACATCATAGTCATCTGAATTACTAAACTCTTGGTCAACATGGTCATTTTTTATAGCAAATTCGTGATTTCTATGTTTTCTTCTATGCCTGGTTTGACTCACTCCAGACCGTCTAAGCTGAGATCTTGCTCTACCTCGACCTCTACCAATCGCAATGACTTTTCTACGTTGTTTTGAGCGTTTTCTGGGTATTTCTGAATCTACAGTTTCTTTTCTGCAATTACTTTGATTGGACAAATTGTTCCAAGATTTTTGGCACATGTCAGAAAAAATATTTGTATTGAATGTTTGTATTGAATCTTCCTCCTCTATAAAATCTGTGGATTTTGATGCCACATTCGGATGACCTATATGATAAGATACAATTGATGCGTCTTGAATATTATCAAAAACGGAACAATCTTTCTTCACATCTATTATATTCGTTATGTTTCTATTCTCTGTACCCATATGTCTTTGTAAATCAATCTCAGAGAGAAGACAAGAGCATTTAGTCATGTCATCATTTGACTTTTCTGCTTGATAACACAATGCAGAATGAGATTCTTTTGTATTACTATTTTTATACATAACATTAGAACCTATGAAAATAAAATTTTCCATAGTTATTTCTTCACTATCTTGATTTATTTCATCCTCACTGTGACAATCAGCCAAATAAGACCAAACTTTTTCATGTCTCATCATGATTGAATCAAATGTAAATGTGGAATAATTAGCTTCAAGAGTGTTGCGTACTTGTCGCATATTATCAAGAAATCTTTTTCCTCCTGTGTAAGTTGGTGAGTACACACCAAAAGACAATATGCTAGAATCATTAAAAAAATAACGATTAGCCACAAAGCTTTGACAAAATTCCAAAGTGTCGTTAGTTTAGTAAAAGCTTTATAAAAAATATTAAAACATTAAACAGTAACTCAAACTCATGAAAATAAAAATAAGCTGTATATTAATATAGCTAGGCAATATAATAAACAATTATAAATATTATATTGTGACAAAACTTGACATTACCTCAAAGTATATTGTTGCAACTTCTTTCTGTTCTAAAACATTTATATGCTAAAAATTAAAACCCACATACATTGATTAGAATATACCTATCTATAAATTAAATAAGCAATAACTTTAAAAACTATTTTTACATTATTTGTATATATTTATTTAACAATTATTTAAACAAATTACATTTTAAATGTGGTAACAATCTTAACTTAAAAAAAAAAACTTCATAGTCAAAGAATTTCACTTATTTCATTCGAAACTAATGTCATTATTTAACTATTAGGCAATAATAATTTACATATACTTTTAATAATTATTGAGTTATTAGCTTATCATTATATGGAATTTTCTTATCTTCTGAGAACCAACACATTGTTTTAGAATATAAATTCATTGTTGCAATAGAAAACCTAAACTAATACAACTTTACATAAATAAAATTTGTAAAATTGTTGATATTTTCAAATATTTAATTAAACAATTGTATTAATTACTATATATAATGTCAGTCTTTCAACCGTAACTTTCACTCGCGCTATTGCACACGCATGCGCAGAATAGTTATATTAAGGTATATTAGGTTATGTTGATTTTGAGACATAGCGTATATAAGATGATTTCTCCAGTAGTTTCTTACTACTGTACGATTATTCAGCGTCAAACAAAAAAAAGAAACATCTTTGATTGATTCTCACACCTATCGTGCGATACAAAAGGGAGCATACTTCATTGAATGTTCTTACACATCTCCGAAATGAAACTACCTTCCATACTTATCAACTGCGTTCTAGAAGAGCGTTATCGGCGCTATTGCCGCTATTGCATCATTCTATAGGGATTACTTATTAGATACAAAAAAAAACAAAAAAAAAACAAAAAAACAAAAAAAAAGACAAGTCGAAAACAGAAGATTGATTAGTTGACTCTTTTATGCGCCACGGAAAAATTTGTGCTTGAGCCTATGACCTACATTTTTTTGCGTGCAACAATCCTAACAGTTGAATATTTGATATGAAACATGTAATAGTTGAAAGATCCGACTGTATTAGCTTTTTAAAATAATTTTGCGATTAAAAAATTTGACTTTGTACTTGTGGGAAAAATTTAAAAACATCAGTAAATTTGTTTAACGAAACATCGTACGCACACGTGTTCACATGAAGCGTGTACGTGCGCTCATATATGGATATACTTACGAAATCTACAATAGTTGCACCCGTGCTTGTGAATACAATTTCGTAAACACTTGTACTCACACCTCGAAAATATGTCTTTTGTGGTAACGTCTTTAGCACTTTCTTGAACAAACACTGTCGCAATTGCGTCACAACTTTTAAGCGCAAACGAATACATATTTGTAACATACATCTTGACGAAGTACTTCAAGCAGCCATTTTCTACGGTTGTTATAGAAGAAATGACTCGCTCAGGGCTCAAGCATGGACATAGGAATATAGGGACGGAGCATAGACCTAGAATATAAGCGAGGGGAGTGAAGCCGAAATGTGGGAGGCAGTTGTGCCTAATTTTTATTGGCTACGATTGTGCGCATGCTCAATACTGCTTAACCTTTCAAATGGTTGACAGATTTCAAAGTATCTTACGCAGCAATTTGGATTACAAGTGATTTGGCAATTGTCAGCAAATAATTAATATAAAAAGAATAAAAATAATTAATATAAAAAGAATAAAAGCTATTCTGTTATAATGTTAATTAACA